AATGATCAATCTATTAAATAATTGCTAACTATTTAATTTTACGTTTGGTTGAAATCTTCTGCAAAGTTGTAGCTGAGAAAATTTCCCATAAGAATAAGTATAGAGATTGTTAACAGCACAATATGGAAAAAGGCTAAAAGACAGTAAACGAAAAGTTTGGTTGTCCCATAGTTATTTCCATATAAACTTCAAATGGTTTGTGCCCAATCAGTTTCTTACCAAATAAGGTCCAATTCTGAGAGGCTTATCACGACTCAATTTGGAACCGATTGGGCATTGCACAGTGGTCCAGAAAGCAAATTTAGGTGGAATGATATGTTTTGAGCCTGAAATTGAAACTTTACATTAAAAGTCTCTTCTACAAACTTGTTCCTTATAGTTAGGCCGTCATTTTTATGACAATGAATTCTATGGTGATTCTTATTATCATTTAAATAAAAAATCTAACTTTTTGTTGTTTCAATAAATTAAGGCATACATTTTGCGGAAAAGTTATAGCTGAGCTAATTTCAAGCGACTTTGTAAATGAAACTTCTTTATATCTCTTAAATTGACCGATTTAGAGATATTTTCTTGAATTGAGTTAGGGTGTCTCTAAAAAACAGTTGTTTTGCTTTAGTTTTCTTATTTCAAATTTCTTAGCAAAGGTTTCTTCAAATAACTTTTAGATCTTTAGAAGACGCAATTTTTTTCTGCAAACAGTTTGTCAATATCTTTCGCCGATCAAGAGTTATTGGCGTTTTTCTTGACCTATGGTATTCCTGGAAAAAATAGTTTTTTAGCACCAACCTAAAACCGTTAATAACTCTTGATTGGCGAAAGATACTGACAAGCTTTGTGCAGCTACAATTTGCGCCTTTCAAAGATCTAAAAGTTATTTGAAGACACCTTTGCTGAGAAATTTGAAATAAGAAATCTAGAGCAAAACAACTGTTTTTTAGAGACACCCTAACTCAATTCAAGAAAATAGCTCGAAATCGGTCAATTTAAGAGATATAAAAAAGTTTTATTTACTATAACTTTGCCGAAAACTTTATGCCTTAATTTATTGAAACAAAAAAGTTAGATTTTTGATTTTAATTATAATAAGAACCACCCTTGAATTCATTGTCATAAAAATGAGGGCCTAACAATAAGGAACAAGTTTGTAGAAGAGACTTTTAGTCTAAAGTTTCAATTTCAGACTCAAAACATATCGTTCCACCTAAATCTGCATTCTGGACCACTGTGCATTGTGGAGCGAAAATTTCAAAATTTTCATCCGTTTGATAGGTATGCACTCAAATTTCCGGTAGCTTCAGGACAGTCCCAAAGATGTCAGGAAAATTCACTTCAGTGAAGATCACCGACCTTCATGGCAGTTCCACTTCAGGAAAGCTGCAAAATCTTTCCAGTAAACTTTTCAGTTCTGAATACTTCAGGACAAATCCGTGATTATCAGGAAAATGGTGGGAACTTCAGAGCAGTTCCGAGAACGTTAGGTAAATTTCAAGAACTTAAAGATAGTTAAATTATTTCAAGGAAAATAGCGGAAACGTTCAGTAAGTTCCAAAAGTTTAAAGATAGTCCAAAGAACTTTAGTAACTTTATAGAAGATCCAAGAAATTCACGGAAGTCCAGAGATCTTCAGGGAACTTTATAGTGATTTTTAGGGCAGGTCCATTAATTTCAGGGCAATTCCTGGAACATGATCAGGAAATTTACGAGAACTTCAGGGAAGTTCCAAGAATATCAGAAAAGATTTGAAAACTTTAAAGTAGTCCCATTAACATCACATACATTGTAGGAACTCTAAAGAGGTTTTGAAGAATGATCGAACGAACTTGAGGAAAATTGTTGAATATGTAAAGAAGTATCACGTAGTTCCGAGCAGTGCTGTTAATTTTCATATCATTCGATTGAAGATGAACCAATACAACCATTCAATCAATTTTGTGAAAACGAATTCTCTTCTCTTCTTCTTCCTCGCATTTCAAGCTTATTGCGTGCTCTCAACTTAGTGTTGTAGATGCACTTCCACTGTTATTAATTGAGAGCTTTCGATGCCTGTACCATTTTTGCATTAGTATAATGGTGTGACAAGTACAATCATACTCTATGCCCAGGGAAGTCGAGACATTTTCCAACCCGAAAAATTCCTACACCGGACCGGGAATCGAGCCCAGCCACCTCCAGCAAGGTCTTGCTTTGTAGCTGTGCCTTTACCGGCTGAGCTAAGGGAGGTCCCAAACGAATTTTCACATGACTATAATTTGAAGAGCCCCTTTATCATTCGAAGCTTATCGTCACTGTCAATTGAATCACTTATTATCATTTGATATACGACAGTAGAGTATGGAAGAAACCCAGCAAAATGGTCTCGAATAGACAAGTCGACCCGATGTCGGATCGATGCAAGGTAAATTTAAGGTCGATTTCGACTCTATGTCGTATTGTTGTCGGCTCAATTTTGGGTTTAGGTCGGGTCAATGTCGGGTCATCATCGGGTTGGGATCTGGTTCGCCGGAATGTCGACCAGAGCTCCGTTTATGTGTAGGTTTAAGGCCCAAGCGCAATGCCAGCGGAAGCGGAACGGCAGCGGCAGTGGAAAAGCCCGATCTGAGTAAGCCTACTTGTCGGATTGAAAACTAGTTAGAACCAAATCGACTTTGGTTAGGCATCTTGATTTCATTTGTGACAACTGTTAAACCTTCCGTTTCCGTTCCGCTTCCGCCCACATTGCGCTAGGGCCTTTACGCTTAATTGAATGATATCAAGCGTTTCTCAAATGAGAATGATCCATGCCTTCGTGACTAAGCAACTGCTATCAGCCATTCGATGGAGGTCCCCTTTGATAGCTGGTAGCTGTTTTTCTCATTTTCATCAAAAATGTTCTATTGATTTTGAGAATTTACAGCACTGGTTCCGAGAACCTAGGTCTAGAGATCTTTCGGGTTGTTTCAATGATTTCAAGGCAGTTCCAAAAATTTTATGAAAGTCCACATCAGTAAGGGTAGGTTCCAATAAATTCAAGACAGATCCATTGACTTCTGGAAAATTTTGAGAACCCTTCAGAAGTTCCGGAAAATTCAGGAATGTCCAGAAAACACCAGAGAAATTAAGGAAACATCAGTAGTTTTCCGCAAACTTTCAAGAAATCCAGAAAACGTTAGGAAAGTGTAAATTTTTCCAGGATAGTTTCATTCATTTCAGAACTGTACGAAGAACTTCAGGAGAACTGAGAGAACTCCAGGGAAGCACTGAGAACACCAGGACAGGCATTTGAACCAATTTCAAGGAAATTACTGAAACTTTGAAGGTGTTTCTGAATTTTTGAAAAGTTTCGAAAAGTTCTGAGCGCCTCAGGAAAATTACGGAACCGTTTCGGAAGTTCCAATAAATTCAAGACAGATCCATTGACTTCTGGAAAATTTGCGTAAGTTCAAAAAAAAAAAAAAAAAAATCAAGACAGATCCATAAACTTCTGAAAAAATTCGAGAACCCTTCAGAAGTCCGGGAATTTCAGGAATGTCCAGAAAACACCAGAGAAATTAAGAATGCATCAGTAGTTTTCCGCAAATTTTCAAGAAATCCAGAGGACGTTAGGGAAGTTTAAAGTTTTTCAGGATAGTTCCATTCATTTCAGAACCGTACGAAGAACTTCAGGAGAATTGAGAGAACTCCAGTGAAGCTCTGAGAACACCAGGACAGGCATTTAAATCAATTTCATAGAAATTGCTGATATTTTGAAGTCTTTCTGAATTTTCGAAAAGATTCGAAAAGTTCTGAGGGTTTCAGGAAAATGACGGAAACGTTTTGGAATTTCCAATAAATTCAATTGACTGCTGGAAAATTTTCGTAAGTTCCAAAAAAATCAAGACAGATCCATAAACTTCTGAAAAAACTTGAGATCCCTTCAAATGTTCCGGGAATATCAGGAATTCATTTAAGAACCGTACGAAGAACTTCAGGAGAATTAAGAGAACTACAGGGAGGCTCTACAAATACCAGGACAAATCAGAGAACCTAAGGTTGAATGAAATTGATGAAACTTTGAAAGTGTTCCTGAAATTTCAAAAACTTCCGCTATGTTCCGAGGGCTTCAGGAAAATTACGCAAACGTTTGGGAAGTTACATGAACATCAGGATAATGTGAGGACATTTTAATGGAAGATCCGTGATTTCCATGGCAGTTTAGAGCACTTAAAAATGCAGGCACTGCAGCGAAGATCAGAGAAGTTCAAGGCAGTTACATCAATTTCAAGAAAATTCCGAAAACTTTTGCTAAATCTTCATGAATTTCTTTAAAGTGATTTTCAGCCATGGGCTGGTTCACAAATCTTCAAGAAATTTTAGAGAACTTCAAGGAATGTTAGAGATTTTAAGGTAGTTTAATTATATTCAGAGTAGTTTCAATTACTTCGTGGATGCATAGAGAATATCTCAGTAATCCCATTAAGTTCAGAAAAAAATTACGGAAATTTCAAGGAGTTCCGAGAAAATATAAGAGATATTCAGGAATGTTCTAAAAACTTCTGGAACATTGAGATCCTTCAAGGGGCGTTTTATGAATATCAGGAAAATTTTCAGAACATTAGAAAATATTGGCAACTTCAAATAAGTACTAAAATCTTCCATGGAGTTCAGGAAAGTTCAAGTAAAATAAGAGATTTTAGGGGGAGTTCCGGAAGTTTCAAAGAAGTTTTCAAAACTTTATGAAAATTACGGTTATTTGTTGGAACTTTTAAAAAATACCGAGAAATTCAGCGAAGTCTAGAGAACTTAGTGAAGTTTCGAGATCTTTTCTGTAGTTCCAAAAACATCAGGAAAGCACGTTAAACATCAGGAAAGTCTAGAATTTTGGGGAAATTTTAAGATGTTTAAGAATTAGTTTTTATAATTTAAAAGTAGTTTCATTAACTTCTGAAAAATTTCGAGAACTTCATTTAAATCTGAGAATTAGAGTAACTCTTTCATTCTTATTTCAGCAAAATAGTGGAAACCTTCGGAAAGTTCCGGTTTTCTGTTTTGGTATACAAGCTAGAGCTAGAGGTATATTCCGAGTAAGCTAGAAAAAAGTAGGACAAACCGAAGAGATAGTTTACCAAGCAAGATCCCACGCTTTTTCAACAAGAACAGCGAAGCAATCGAGTTGGGTATTCGACACACTAGTTTGATAATGTGAGTTTATGATTGCGTAATGAAATGTGTTAACTTCTGGACATTTTATACCCGTGCGGAGCTGTTCTACTAAGCCTTAAGGATTAGGACTGTTAGAAAATAAGTTGCTTGCATAGAAGAATCATTCAACGAATGAATAAAGATATATACTTCAAGAAAATTCAACCAAATTCAATCTGCTTCACCGTAGAAATTCCATCTGGTATGACGTTACTCTTAACCAAAAACATAGTAATAAGAACGCATAGTTAGTTCACTCGAAACAAAACATTCCTGCAAATCTATAGCTAAGAGTCTAGTGGAACAAAAATACACATCTCGCGAACCTATCCCCGGAATCCATCTCAAACCATCGCTTCGCTGGCCATCCCCCCTCCCCCCCTGCTGGAACGTCACCGAGTGTATTTGATTTAATTCATTAGCTATATGTATAGTTACTTCCTACCATCATTATCGTTGCAGGCTTCACAGTTGGAACAAATGCAATTTACAATACAGAAAACAAAACGAAAATAAAACTTGACCACAACCTAGAGGAGTTACTATCAGAACTGCGGTCGCCGTACGGTCGCCAGTAAGCCAGTACACACGGTCAACGCCAGCAGGGGTATACTGAACAAATTTACCAAAGACACTCCATGCGATCCGTTGATCTTCAGCGACATGCCCTCGTCGACGACGATGATCTTCCAGCCCAAGTTTCGGTGGGTGTAGCACTGGAAATGGAATTTCATGTTAGAAAAAATGTGATTGACTATTAGAAGGCAATCAGTACCTGATAGTACACCATATTTGGGGCATCTTCCGGAACGGTCCAGTTCAGATAGGCAGGTTGTGCGTCGGGATCATCACACACCAGGTTGAGCGTCTTCTTAAACTCTTCGAACGTTTCACTTTCCTCCGATTTGTCGACGTTCTTGTGTTTCCACTCGCAGTATCGTCCGGCTACGGAAGTGCAACATCAATTTCTGATTCAACCGTTTTGCTGATTAACACCTTGTACTTACCAGCAGTCGGATATGGGTAGTGATCTTTGTCGTACGCGACACCTGCAAAGACAGTTTCTCTTTCTTGCTTTGACGCAGTTTGTTGTCCAAATCCACCTTCAGGCGAGTCGGTAATGTAGAACGGATGGTATCTGTAAGCAAAATGTGAATATTATTGCCCTGTGTTGAGCTAAAGCTGTTGGGATCCCTCATACTTGGCCGGTTGGGTAGGATCATCGCCTCCTTCAACAACGAATGTGTACGTTTTACCGCGTTCAACGTAGACCTCTGGAATGAGCATATCATTGAGGAACCATGCAATGCCCCACGATGGATGGCCCGTCATAGGGGTGTAGCCCCGCTTTCCACCCGTCGGTCCTATTTTGGCGCTGATAACAGTTTGTTTACTGATGACTCGCTTTTCCCATGCTTTTGGAGCATTTGGATCAATCAAACTATCCAGAGCATCCGTACACGAGTGATCGTTCGTGGATGAGAAGTTGATCTGGATGTCTTGCAAGGTAGCGTCATTGAAACTATGGGCGTTCGCTTCGGTTCGTGAGTTCAAAGGACCAATGGCAGCGACCACCGAAATTTGTCGATCCGTAGGGTAAGGCTGATCGCTCGATGCCTCGTTGGTATGCAGCAGTCGACGGTATTTTATTTTTGTTACACCCTGACGGCGATCGCCGGAAACTATAAACAGAAAGATGTTTAGAAATGTCGATCGAGATTAACCCATCGTTCCATTAACTTACTCAGCTCCGCATCATTTCTGCCGCCTATCCGCTCATCTGGACAGACACCTTGCTTGCCATCGCATTGTGCTAGTGCCGACAAGTAGTAATCTTCTGCACGGAAAAGACGCATTTTGCGATCGTAGAACGCTACCACTACATCAGAACCGACCATCTGCGGTTGTCCATTCCGGCCGGATATTCCAAACGCCATGTACTGGTTTTCTTCGATCCTTCCGATCAACTCAATTTCGACGTACTCTCCAACGACCTTCCACATTACGTTCAGTCTGCCTGATAATAACTCCCGGCAGTTGACGCTAAGTTTGCTGGTTGGCGTTGCTGTCGGTTGCCCGAACGATGTAATTGTCGATGAAGTTGAAGATGTGGTCTGCGAATAGAAAAAAAAAAACGTAAGTTACTTCCAATCCGACGAGCAAGTCTCACATCATTAGTAGTTAGTAGTTACCGTTTTATACCACCAAGTTGGCTGTAATTTAGCAAAATTTTGTTAGTTGTACGCACTATCACCTTTCCTCACACAAACAACCTCCTTCCTAATCCAACTTACCGCTATCTTCGTCTGACCCATTGCGGGTGGAATGTCCAAGTTCTTCGGGATGTGCACGTGACCAAAGTTTTGCCGATATTCGATGCACCATATTGCCAGCCAATCGATGTCGTATACGGTCAAATTGCCGGGCAGTTGGATCTCGATGTCCTCACCATGGTAGCCCCGCAGCCGATCCAGCGAGCCACTTTCGCTAGGAACTTTAATACCCATGATGTTCGGCTCGGATCCGTTGCCTACCCAAAAGTATGCGTCCGGTCCGGCACCGTCGTAGTGCAGGTTCGGGATGTAGAAGGTCTTCGCATCCAGGATGCTGATGTTGCTCGACCGGAGATCGTGGGCGAACCGTTTGAACTCGGGCAGGACGCGTGGCTTGGGAACGTCCAAGCCCGGCGGGATGAACACGTCGCCAAAGTCGACCTGCAAGTGAGTGGAAGCAAAGACTCTTTATTAACAATATGGCTAGCTTATCAATGCCACGGATAATCCAGTGGATACATTCACCCAACTGAAACTGTTTGGGGTACAGGAATATATTCAATGCTTACAATAGTGTGCGAGCGTATCTTTAGTGTACAGTTCTGAGCAGTGATGGATCGCTCTTTTTGGGCTTATTCATGACTTTTTATTATAGAATGGTATCAGTGATGGGTAAAACACCGGTTCAGCACCGAGGCGGATTTCTAAATCAATACCGATGTACTGATCTGTTGTACCATGTGTACGGTATATGCGTATTGGTGTCGGTTCGGTTTTGTTGTTACAAGCAAAACCGCACAGTGTTAACCAGTTCGCGGCACACGGTGTAGTTCTGATTTTCGAGTACCGGGTTTCATGTTTCACAAGAATGATGTTCTGGATTCAAGAACAGAGCCGGTGCTGTTGTAGTTCACCGTAATATTCAGTTTTGCCAGTGATGGCAGTTAATTGAACAGAATTTGTATTTGATGAAAAAATTTATGTATTGCCAAGTCGAAATGACGGGTTTCAAATACCGAAAAATCGGGAAGTCAAATGATGTTTTATGCAATGTGGGTATTTTCGGCTTCGGAGGGAATCGATGTCCGACGCCATATGGCGCCTTCCTATTATAGAAGAACTGGAAAATACTGTAAAATACCCATCAATATGGGTAATTTTGGAATCGGGATGACGTCTAGAGGCCGGAAATCGATGTCTGACGCCATCTTGATATTTAAGATGGCATCTTCCGGTTATAGAAAAGCTGGGCAATACAGACAAATACCCTTCAATATTGGTATTTTTGGAATCGAGGTGACGTTTAAAGACAGGAAATCGATGTCTAACGCCATATTTAAAATCATTATGGCGGCTTCTGGTTATATTAAACCTGGGAAATACTGTCAAATACTCTTCAATATAGGTATTTTTTTGGAATCGGGATGTCGTATGGAGACCGGAAACAAATATCTGACGCCACCTTGAAATCCAAGATTGTGCCTACGGTTGCAGATAAACAGGGAAATACTGTCAAATACCTTTCAATATATGGTTTTTTATTGTTTCGAACCGATGTACCGTCTTAAGACTGGAAATATATGTTTGACACCAGCTTGAAATTTAAGATGGTTGCTTCCGGTTAGCTCAGGGGCCTCCCTTAGCTCAGTCGGTAAAGGCGCAGCTACAAAGCAAGACCATGCTGGAGGTGGCTGGCTTCGATTCCCGGTCCGGTCTAGGAATTTTTCGGGTTGGAAAATTTCTCGACTTCCCTGGGCATAGAAGTATGATTGGACTTGCCACACAATTATACCAATGCAAAAATGGTACAGGCGTCGAAAGCTCTCAATTAATAACTGTGGAAAAGAAGAAGAAGAAGAAGAAGAAGAAGCTTCCGGTTATATAAAAATAGGTGAATACAGTCAAATACCCTTCAATATGGGTATTTCTGGAATTGGAATGACGTCTTGATACCGAAAATTGATGTCTGACACCATCTTGAAATCAAAGATGGTGGCTTCTAATTTCAGAAAAATTGAAAATTCTGTCGAAAACCCTTCACTATAGGTATTTTTGAAATTGGGGTGCCGTCTAGAAACTGGAAATCTATGTCCGATGTCATGTTGAAATCCAAGTTGGCGACTTCCGGATATAGCAAAACTGGGAAATACAGTAAAGTACCCTTCAATATGGGAATTTTCGGAATCGTGGTGACGTATGGAAACCAGAAATCGATGTCCGACGCCATCTTAAAATCAAAGATGGTGGCTTCCGTATATTGAAAAACTGTGAAATACTGTCTAATACCCTTCAATATGGGTATTGCCAGAATCGGGGTGACGTCTAAACCTTCCATTTTGTGGCTGTTCCATACAATTTGGATAAGTGAATGCCGACAAACTCAACTAATTGCTTATAATTCTTGATTTTTGGATCCAGGCATCGATTTACAGTCTCTAGGCGGCACCCCAATTCTGAAAATTTCCATATTGAGGGATATTAAACTATATTTCATAATTTTCCTGCAACCAAAAATCGCCATCTTGGATTTCAATATGGCGTTGCACATCGATTTCCGATCTCCATACGTCATTGAAGGGTATTTGTCAGACTTCAAAATGAATTCCCGTTCCTTCGCTACCAATATTGTCAATCAAAATATGTGACAATTTAAGAACAGCTGTCGTTTTGCAAAAATATTTTACTCATTTTGGGAGCACTGCTCTTTAGTTCTTGCCAATGGTCTGAACCAATAACGGTATACGGTACGTTTTCGGAATTTTCAAAAGTTGGGTGAAAGTCCTGGAGTTTCTGGGAAGTCCTAGGGTCTTCTAGGAAGTATCCGGGATTTTTTAGAAAGGTCATGCAAATTCCGGGAAAATTCTTCCAACTTCTGAGACGTTCTCGCAATTTATGAGAAAAATTCGGATCTTTTTGGAAGTTCACGGAACTTTTGGGAAGTTCTTGAAAACTCTGCTAAGATTTTGGAAAATGTGGATAGTTCTCGGAATATTTGGGAAGTTCTTGGAATTTCTTAGTATTTCGCATTCAGGGTGTTTTCACATCTTAGAATTTCGAAATTTTGAAATTTCTGGAATGTTCTTAGAATTATTGTGAAGTTCTTTGAACTTATGAGAAGTTCTTGGGATTTCTAGAAAAATTGCAGAACTTCTGCGAAGTTCTCCGAATTTCTAGAAAGTTTTCTGAACTTCTGATTAGCTCTTGGAATTTCTGTTAAATTTGCCGAGCATCCGGGAAGTTCTCGGGTTTTTTTTAGAAAGTTCTCGTAATTTCTGCGAAATTCAAGGATCTTCTGAACAGTTCTTGGAAGAAACTTCTAGGAAGCTCACAGAAATTGTGAGTAGTGCTCGGATGTTCTTCAAAGTGCACGCATCTTGTAAGAATCCGTGGAAAATTCTGGAAAGTCATCGGAAACTCTGGCAGTTCTTGGAACTTTTGGGAAGTTCTTAGAATTTCTAGAAAATTTACGGATCTTCTGGGAAATTTTCAGAGATTCCCGAATTTTCTGCCATTCTTTTGGAAATTCTGGAAAACTCTCGAAACTGATGGGGAGTTTTCGAAATTTTTGGAAAGTTTTCGCATCTTCTGAGGAAGTTCCTGAAAACTCTGGGAAGTTCTCGGAATTTCTGTGAAGTTCTTGAATCTTTTGGAAAGCTCTCGGACTTTTTGGGAAGTTTTCCGAATTTCTTGTAAATGCATGGATTTTTTTGGGATGTTCTCAGATCTTCTGAGAAATTCTTGGAACTTATGGAAAGCTCTCAGAATTTCTGGGAAGTATTCGGATTTAGAAAGTTTTCAGAATTCCTAAAAATTTCTGAGATCTACTGGGAAAATATTGGATTTTTTGGAACGTTCTAGGAGTTTCTGAGAAGCTCTCACATCTGTTAGGAAGTTCGAGGGTCTTCTGGAAAATTCACGGAATTTCTGAGGCGTACCGAGATTTAGAAGATCAGTGGTGCTCATCCAATGGCCCACGGACCACATGCGGTTCACGGAAACTTTTATCAAGTTGAGATTTACTTGCATTTATTATCAGAGTTCTTTTGGAACTCTGTTTGGAACTCTCGAGTTTTTCATAACATGTCATTATATTCACAAAATTCCGTTATACATATTTTATCATTCTGTTGAGTTCTCCTCAATACTCACATGACACAATCTTCACATGTTGTGAGTTTGAACTCCCATAAATAGCCTCTTCTTGATGCTGTCGAGAATACTAAATTCTCCTTAAAATTCCTTTGGAATTGAATCTTGAACTTGAATTGAAACTTCAGATACAGATTCCTTTCGAATTCTTATCACAGTTCCTTTGAAATTAACGTCACAACAGCTAACAAGTTCTTGTCAGTATTGCCCTGGTACTCTTGTCTGAATTTATTTGGAGTTGGGGAGTTTTGGATATTTTTTTGAACTATCCTCTGAATTATCTTTGAGTTCTTCCAAGAGATGCTCTGAAATTCTCCTGGACATTTCTTCAGAATTTCCATGTAATTCCACTTTTCAGTTGGCCTTTAAGTATTTTCCTAAAGCTTTCCTCACAAAGCCTTTCAAGTTCTTTTCAGAATTACTTTCAAGTCTCCTCGGAATTCCATAAGAATACTTTCCAGAATTTCCTGGGAGTTCTTTTCGGAATAACCTTTGGAATATGTCACTTCTCATAGAAATTCAATTTTAATTGTTTCCTGTAAATTCATCCAAGCTCATGACAGGTCCCAAGTTTTTGTTTTCAAGCTCATGGTTTCTAAAAGAATTTCTTACTACTACCTTTCAATTTTTAAAATTCATGGCGTTCAGCATAGCAGCCTTCGGATAATTTTCATGATTTTGTAGTTCGGAAAACTTCTTAAGTCGTAATGAGGCCTTATTAACTTAATTTTAGAGCTCATGAAATCTGTTACAGTTTTATAGAAACAATATTTTTAATGAATGCGTGATCTAAATTGGTTTCAAGATCTAAAAAATAAATTTGTTACCGATGCAATGAATTATGAGGAAAGTAGCTAAACAAAAAATCTTTCAATCGCCCCTTTATCTTGCCTCCCTTGGCTGTTTTCATCACCCTTTACTACGGAGATGAGCGTGGCCCGCAGTTTACGTAGATACTTGCAATATGGCCTGCCATATGCCTTCAGCTGAGCATCACTGATCTATATTCAGTTGTACTCGGAATTTGTGAGAAGCATAAGTACTTCAGGGAAATTGTTGGATCTTCTGGGAAGTTCTCGAAATCTATGGAAAATCCCCTGCTCCTAAATCTTCTGAGTAGTTACCGGAACTTTTGGAGAGTTTTCCAATTTTTTTTTTAATTTTTGAGAAGTTTCTTCTGGGAAATTCTATTTCGGATTTTCTGGGAAATTCTAGGATTTTCAGAGAAGTTCTAGAAAATGATGGAAGCTCTTGGTAATTCTGACAAACTTTCAAAAATTCTAGGAATTTCT